CCAAACCCCTAATCATTTTAGTTGCCCTTTTCTGAACTCTTTCCAAGGCCAAAATATCTTTTTTGAGGTGAGGAGACCACATCTGTACACAATACTGAAGATATGGCGTACCATAGTTTTATACTTCTCCTCCTCCTTCTTCCTCTGGCTTCCCTCTTCCAGCTCCCTCCTCCCACGTTTCCCCCTCCCCTCTTCCACCCTCTCTCTTTCCCTCTCCCACCTCCTTTTCCCAGTCTCCCCAGAGGTCCATCCCCACCCCCCATTTTGTTCAATAAACCCAGTTTGTATTTTTGAACGTACGTGTCTTTTATTTGACATCAGGAAGGGGGACTAGGGAGGGGTAAGTGGAAGGACGTGAGGGAGGAATGGGGCACGAGCCCCCGGTGGGGAGGACCGGGGAGGCTCTTAAGGCTCCTTGGTGTGGACGCTCTCCCTCAGGGCCTCCTGGATCCTGATGGACCTCCGGATGGCAGCCTGCAGCAAGTGCAGCCGGTATGATGGCAATGACCCCACGAGATGCACCAGCGTGCCCAGGGGCAGCTCTGGCTCCATGTGGCTGAGTGCTGTGGTGTCCCGAGTGTGGGCACTCAGGGCACTCCAAAACAGGACTGCTTTGCTGTCCCTCATTGAGGTAGAGAAGCAAGTGGGGAACCCTGAGAACTGTCTGTCCAGGGTAGGGGTAGGGTCCCTTTAACCACGGAGCTCAGTTAGCCTCAGGCAGCAGCCCCACACACTAAGTCCCAACCTCATGCCCTGCCGGAACTGGTTCCGGCCAGCCTTAATTTTGGTACAGGGTCCACTCAGTGTGGACGCACTCTTTCAAAATAGCAAAATGCTATTTCAAAATAGTTTTTGTGTATAGATGTGTTATTTTGAATTAGCTTAATTTGAATTAACTAAAAACTATTAGGTATTGAGGGTAACCTGGAGCATTACCCAAAATAAGGAAAATTTGGAAAGGAACTCCTTTCTCCAGAAAATATGACTTGACTTCAGGGATGAAGCAGTTCATGAACCAATCTTCAAAAAGTGCAAGCGTCATCCAGGCTTTCTTATTAGCGCGATAATGGACTAGTAAAGTAGCCTTGTTGATATTCTTGAAGGCTCTAGGGTTTTCAGAGCGATAAATCAAGAGGGGTTTCAATTTATACCCAGAAACATTGCCTCCTAACAAGACTGTTAGACAATCTTTGAAAGCCTTATAACCAGGCATAGTTTTTGCTTCCTTATGTATGTAGGTATGTTCGGGCATTTTCTTCCAAAAGAGACCTGTCTCATCAACATTAAAGATCTGTTCTGGAAAATAAGTTCCCTCTTTTATCAGCTTATCCAATTCTATGCAAGGTTCTGCTGCTTTCGAATCAGCACTGGCTGCCTCCCCACTTAATTTCACATTATGAAGGCTTGTATGCATCTTGAAACGGTTGAGCCAACCGTGACTGGCAGTGAAAGTTTGGTCATAGTCATACCCCTCCTTTTTCTTTAAATCTTCAAAAAGACTACGAACCTTAGCTTGTATCATCATGAGACTTAATGGCGTGCGTTTTTCAATTTGGTCTTCCATCCAAAGCACTAAGAGTTTTTCCATTTCCAGGATGGAACCTGCTCTTTGCTTTGTTAGAATTTTGGATTTCATAGGAGCAGACCCTTTCGC